TAGTGCGGAGATCGTGGACGAGGTCCACGATGTCTGCACTAGCCCAGGAAGGTGCCCGCCTCTTGCCGTCCCAGGCAAGCTCCCGGGAGCCGCCAGCCTGGTCCCGGGAAGAGGGGGAGGGCTGGGGGACATCGGGTGGGTGGCTCTGTGCCAGGTGCAGGGTCTGCTGGCTCGGTGCTGGCAGGCTTGCACCTGGCATGGGCACCGTAGCCAGCCCGTGCCCCTTTAAGGGCTCCAGGGCCGGGAGAGGGGCAGACGAGTTTCCCTGGTGGTGCCCAGAGTGGCCATCAGGGCAAGCTGGGGAGGGCTAGCCTCCCACTAGTTCAAATTAAGTGGCTACACAGCCCTTAATTCGAACTACTTAATTTGAACTAGGCATTAGTCCTCGTAGAATGAGGTTTACCTCGTTCGAATTAAATTCGAACTAGCGGTTTGCCTGTGTAGCGCCTATCAAAGTTAATTCGAACTAACGGCTGTTAGTTCGAATCAACTTTGTAGTGTAGACATACCCTAATAGATTCTTATGGGGAAATCCTTGGTGAACTTAAGCACAAAAAGGGAGCTTACAAAAAGTGGAAACTTGTACAGATGACTAGGGAGGGGTATAATTGTATATATAGCTCGAGAATGCAGGGGAGTTATCAGGAAGGCGGAAGTGCAATTGGAATTGCAACTTGGAGGTGATGTGAAGGATAACAAGAAAGGTTTCCACAGGCATATTAACAAGAAGAAGGTGATCAGAGAGGTTGTGGGGCCCCTACTGGATGAGGGCGGTACCCTAGTGACAGATGATGTGGGGAAAGCTGAAGTACTCAATGCTTTCTTTCCCTCTGTCTTCATGGATAAGGTCAGCTCCCAGACTAATGCACTAAGTGATGCAATATGGGATAAAGATGGACAGCCGTTGATGGGGAAAGAACAGTTTAGGAACTATTTAGAAAAGCTAAATGTACATAAATCCATGGGTCTGGACTTAATACGTCTGAGGGTACTGAGGGAGTTGGCAAATGTCATTGAGGAGCCTTTGGCCATTATCTTTGAAAAGTTGTGGAGATCAGGAGAGATCCTGGATGATTGGAAAAAGGCAAATGTAGTGCCCATCTTTAAGAAAGGGAAGAAGGATGACCCAGGGAACTATAGGACGGACAGTCTTATCTCAGT